TTAAGTCCTACATGTGGGAGGTAGAAACCCGCACGTTGAGATTCGGCGAAGGGGCAGTGCATTCAGGCAAGTACCGAAGGATACCAGTGCTAGAAGGCACCAGAGTTGCGGGAGCGATGCAAGGGAGACGGATGACGCCGGAAGTCGTAAACATCTGAGCTTAAATAGTTTCAGTGTCGGAAATGATTCCAGACATTTGCTCGGAATTGTAACATCGCACAATACCGCTGGATGATCTCGGGATGACAGTGCGAGCAGCAAGTGAGAGACCCGTGCGCAGAACGAGCGCGCCGGTCCCGAGGCCAGAATTGGTCTCACGCGTCAGGCGACGTAAGAACGTCTCCGATGACGTGCTCAGTTTGCGCTCAGTACGCAATCCACCAAGTCCCGCACCATCTCTCTCTTCAGTTGTTTGTTCTGTATCCTCAGGGTTGTATCCGTCGCTAGTGGAGGCCCGTACAACCCTCCATTGGCATTGATAATGCCGCGCGCGAATACCGGTGGGCGGCTGGCCGGAAGGACGTGCCAGCAGCGCCCATTGAGAGGTCGATTTGGAATGCAGTATTCAACCGCTTACTCCGGCTCGAGTTCCTGTCAAGAGACGATTTCCGCGCGGGCATGATCTGCTGGCGTACATCTCCATTAGGTATCATAGGGCCCTGTCGCCCTATTTAGCTCATCTTCCTCCGCAACAACAGGCAGCCTCAACCACGCACAGCATGCACCCTCCCGGCGACGACCTTAATTTTCTTCCCATCGCTATTATTACGCTCGAAGATGCTCAGGCACATCTGGGCAAATCCTGGGAACCCATCCTCGCTCTCTTGCGTGAGATGCGGGACGCGAATCTGCCGTCCGAACCCAATATCGATGACCTTCCACCATTGGACCATTATCTGCCAAACCATGAGCATCATCTAATACTGCGCGATACTCTCTGGAGCATTTCTTGGGGCTTAACAAGTAGTGTTAATGTGCGTTCTCATTTATACCGTTCACTCAGATAGATGACTGACGGTAGATAGAGCATCCCCGTCCTCCTCCGCACGATGTCTCTGGTGTATCAGCTATACTCCAGTCGCACGATGGCCGCATTCCGCGCTTATCATGTCTTACCTCAACCAGTTGAGAGCGTTCAGGACTTCCACGCATATATGCAGCCAATGAACCGCGTCGCTAACGTTCTGTTCGGCTGGCGTGGTACAAAACGTTTTACTTCGCTGTACCCGTATATTCCGCAATTTACAACACGCCAACTCACCTCAATCACACTCCACCGCCTGTGAGTCTGTCACGATCCTCCTGCCTTCTATGGACTTATGTTTGTACAGACACAGCGGTATGGCAGAGCGCGAGTTCTATCACGCTTTTCGCTGTCGCAAGTTCACTGCATGGCTTGGACTGCTTTACGAGATCCTCAACCCACGGCAACCACTCTCAATGAACATTGAACCAATCGTACTTCTCACTGTCGCGGAGCGCATAGTTCCTCCGCTCGATGGTCGTCGTGCACAGACGGAATGGCTGAGCGCTTTGGTCGAACGAGAGGTCATATCTGTCCATTCCGTCCACCAGTTGTCGCCCGAGCAACTTTTCGCTCTTCGTAGGGCTCATGTCATCTGGCGCGCGGTCAAGAGACGCTGTATGCAATGTCAGCGAAAAATTCCTGATGGTGACACTCCTCGATCTTGCCGTGAATGTCGTCGCGTTGTTTACTGCACCACAGTCTGCCAATCACTGTGAGCCATCTGTTCATATGGCGGAACTCATGCTGACTTGAGCGAAAGCCACTGGAATGCTTCTCACCGCGATATTTGTCAGGTTTGGTGTCGTATCGAGGCGCGAGCGAAAGAGCCGGCCATGAACGCCCGTATCAAAGCTCTTCCTATTGACATAAGCACGATGTTCGATGATTGATGTACGCTATCAGTCGCATATTTTTATTCGAAGTTTAACTAGTTGTACATGAGTTCAAGTCGTCAGATAGAGCGTGGATGCTCTATAACTGTATGTCGGCTCAGCCGTCATCTCGGCATCAGAGCCATCAACTGACGATGCTGTATGACGGCCCGAACGTGTCAATAATCGAATTAGATTTAGGACGCAGTTTTGATTTACCATTAAAGAAGAGTCGCGGCGAGCCCGCCTTCCCCGGGCTTCCCTCGTTCCCTCCCGCCTGTCCCTCCCATACCTTCAGCCCTACCGTATACTGTGCGTGCTAGGCTGTCGAACGAAGCCCACCAAGGCGCAAAAGGGAGGAGGAGGAGGGAGGAGGAGTGGCGTCGACGCGGCGGCCAGGGCCGCGTGTTCGGCTGACGCGGCCACGTGTTTTGCCGCGTGTGTCGCAAAGCGCGTCGCGCCCGCTCGTCCTCCTCGTCGGCCCGCTAATAACCCGTGATGTACAGCCGCGTAGGACTATATGACATCGGAAAAGTTCATACACGCTCATAGGAATCATTCAGTGAGAATTGTATATATATATATATATATATATAT